CCTTCCTTCCTTCCTTCCTTCCTTCCTTCCTTCCCTGCTTATTTCTATTACATTCATTACTGCTTATTTCTATTACATTCATTAGAAATTGAAATGATCTGCCTTTCCATCTGTCTCTGTTGTCCTTTCTGAAAGCAAGGAACTCCAGATGGAGGACCAGTTCAGATACTGAGGTTTATACAGCATGCTACAATAATTGTGGTCTCAAAAAACAAATGCTCTGTTTTTGATTGGTAGAAGGAAGAATCACTCATCTGAACCATCCTGTGGAGACCTGCAGGTCCAAGAGTGGTATATTTGAAAAGTGTGCCAGTGGCTTGTTTTGATATTGAGGTGTTTATCTTTGATCCTAAAACCAAGTGTGAATGGAATATGCTGAGATTAGATTCCACCTTCATTTTCTGATTGGCAGAATTGAGATCAAAAACTGATTTTCCTTGACTCTGAGCTATTGACTGTTTAAAAATAAGCAGTTAGGTGGTACAGAATTGATGATCTACTGGTGCCCTTCATGCATTTCTCTTTTGTCATTCAGTGGGACAAAAAATAGTCCCTAGTTTCTTGGGCTTTTCTTTTGAAATATCTAACTCTGCTCTCCTTCAGATAAAATATGTGACCAGATCAGTGATGCTGTCCTTGATGCCCACTTGAAGCAAGATCCAGATGCCAAAGTTGCTTGCGGTAAGAGGTGGCTTCTTCTCTTTTCTCATGACAACAATTCCACATTTAACGGCCATCAGCACATCTGGATGTAGTACCATAAGTTGGGGATACCCTTAGCAGAAGTGGCAAATACTGAATTACCATTTCCAAATTATATCCCAGATTTCATCCTGTTAGAGAATGTTTGAGATTGACCAATATACTCTCTCACTATAGCACAACCTATTTTTGGTACTGGAGAGAGACAAGAGACAAGTCAGTAGACTTATGCAAAGTACATTATATAGTTTATTAGCATAGCAAACCATTTGATAGGGTTATGGCAAAATGTGTGTTAGCGAGATCAGGATGGTGAGGTAATGGGGTGAATACAGTGGCTTATTTGAGTTAAACAAAGGGGTCTTAGAATGTCTGTTAGGGAGATGTTACTTTCCCTAGGAGTTATCAAGTGTCCTTGTTTCCCAGCACCTCTATTTTTCAGAATCAGCATTCCTTGTGTCCAAATGTTTTATGGCTGAGCTGGCAATTTCTTTTCCTTTGAGAAGATGCATGTGGGGAGGGGGTGAGTGCCTTTCAGGAAGGGGCAATTTAGCGGCCTACCACAATGCCATTTTCTCCCTCAGTCCTCGACATTTTCTTTATCCTAACCAGAGTCACCAAAACCTCCATCCTGCACACCATGCTTTGTTGTAGCAAGTTAGGACCCACCCCCCCACACTTCAATTATACATCTAAAAGTGGGGATCTGTACTCCCAGAAGTACTCTTTCACACAACTACCTCCAAAGTAGTCTCTTCTCCATCCTTTCCTCCAGTCTGTCTTATCCCAATTTAATTTCATCATATTCTTCCTCACCTTTATAGAATTTAGGCTACTTTCAAGGGCATGGAATTGCTTCTTCGGAGTTAGATGGCAATACAGCTGGGCATCTTTTTCTAGGTTCTAAGTACCTCCCACAGGGAACTCATGTAAATGGTGAGCAGCATGAGGGACAAGATGGAGTCCAGTCTGACTTCAAAGATCAACAGCCTTGATCTCCAAGGATCACTCTCTAGAAACAGCTGACAGGATGGATGGTACCCATTGCACAATAATGTTCCCAAGGCCAGATCCTCCCAGATGTTCCAGAAGCATGTCATGGTCTATGATAGTAAAGGTACTGATAGGTCCAGGAAAGCTAGGAGGATCTAGTTTCTGGCACTGGTAATCTCAGTGCCATGTTCCTCCTGAAAGCACCATTGAAGTGGGTCCAATACTCAGCCTTAGTTTTTGGAATTATAAAGCCATTACTTTCTTGATCAGCTTTTCCAGAAATGGAACATTTGAGACTGGTTTGGTATTTTATAGATCTTTTGGATCAAGGGACAGTTTCCTCAGTAGGCTTCCTGTAGCCTCCTTTAGATTGAAGAAACACTACATGTCCCAGCTACAAGAAATAGTTGATTACCTACTGTAACCATGGGTCCAGCCCTATCCTGGTTGCATTAATTAGCCATGAGGGATAAGAGATGCTTCTGTATAATTCTCATGGGGTTGTAGTGGTCAGGATTATTAGTGCATTATGACAATAGGAAGTCTACGTTTGTTACAGTGTATTGTGGATGTTTAGGTGTTTATTGTTTTCTATGGACATTTTAATGTTTATTCTTTAAATGGGATGTTTAACATATGTATTTATTGTGGAGGTTTTATTGTTTTGTATTATAGCATGTACTATGGAATGAAATGAAATGAAATGAAATTGGCAGCCTACAAATCTGATTGATGAACAGATGGTAGAGTTCATCTGTCCATCCAACACGTCCACAGTCAAGTACCTTATTACTGAATATTTAAGACACTCTCATGGTGTATCTAACTTGCTTTCTTTTGCCTTTAGAGACGGTCTGTAAAACAGGAATGGTGCTACTCTGCGGCGAGATCACATCCAGAGCTGTTGTGGACTATCAGCAGATTGTCCGAGACACAATTATGAACATAGGCTATGATGATTCAGCTAAAGGTTGGTGGAACACTGAAAGCGGTCTGCTGTAGTGGCCGTCCTGATGAAGGCAAAAAAAAATCTGACTCCTTCTTGGCTTGCTTAGCTAGGATACTAAAAAGGCTGATGCAATCTTGGTTGAGCAATGCTCAGACTTTACAAGAAGCCAGATCTCCCAGCTGTTTTTATAAGGAGGTGAACGCTATTTATGGGCTGATCAGAGGTTATCTCAGGGTTGACTCATCCCTCATACAAGCTCTTTGTAGCATCCTTGCTATTTGTTCTTGGCCGGACACTTTCTAGCCTGCTCAGCTTGACCAACTGGCCTCAGGATTTCCTGCAATTAATATCATCAAAGCTGTTTATATAGATTTCACGCGTTGTGTCGGTATCCTCCTTAAAGCTGTATATCACATATCCCGTTGGAGTTGTTTCAGTATGATGAATGGAATTCTGCTCTGTAGGCTTTGACTACAAGACCTGTAACGTTCTCGTGGCATTGGAGCAACAATCACCTGATATTGCCCAGGGGGTTCATCTACACAGGAACGAAGAAGATGTTGGTGCTGGAGACCAGGTGGGAAATGCACCATCACTCAAAGACATAAAATATATCTTTTCTTGGCTGTGCATTTGGAGTGCAAATAAGCACTTTGGGTTGGGAATTCATAGTACATTTTTAGGGACAGACCTCAAGAATGTAAAAAGCAATTATTCCAGGGGGCAGACTGTCATCTCTTCCTTCTCCCCCTGTTGGCAAATCAGAGGTAAGGGTCAGGCATGCAAGAACTGATGGCTGACCCAGTAACATTTGCCATTAATCTACTCTGAATGGTGGGATTTTAGTCTAGAATTTGCCATTCTTCCTCAAGCCCTTCCTGTAATATTTCTCATATGTCAACAAAGGATCTGTAGAATAAACCAAGTTTTCTTAGTGCAGGAGAGGTCTGCTATTGCTTTTTCTTTGGGGATGTTTTCTTTTTACTTCCCAGACCAGCCTACGGCCCTGGGATCTCCAAGCACTACATCCAAGGAGATCTGACCCTGCTTAGCTTTTTCAAGACCAGCCAAGTTCAGCCAAGTGCTGCCACCTGGCTGAACATCTTGCTATTACTCCACAAATATGCAAGGCTCTTTACAGAGAAAGACACCAAACTTCACTTTCTAAATGTCAGCAAGGCAACCGAGATGACTGTAAGCAAATGAGTAACACCTCCTTAGATACATTTCAATAGAAATGAGGACTAAAGAGTTAAATATTTTTATTTTGGGGGAGGGTGGGGTGGGGTGGGGTGGAATCAATTTTGAAGACAAGTGGCGGAAAGAGGTAGAACAGCTTAAGAGTCCTGGCAGGGAACTCCAGTCCTTCACAGCCATGAACACTGGACAAAGTTATATGAGATTGGGAGAAAGAAAAGATTGGGAAAGTTTGGATGGCTGACATTGATGGATTGATGCAAGAAGTCTCATTGACAAGAATGAAAGTGATGTGTGTGTGCAAGTTAATAAGCAGATTGGATTGAGAAGATCCACTCTCATTTTTTTTGCTGTTCTCCCTCTTAAACCTGCAACTAAAAAGGTTGACTTTCTTGAAACTTAGCTATTTTTATTTCTTTCCCATCTATCTCCCCTCCATGATGCTTGTTAGCCATCATGACCAAGGAAGCACAGTAGAGGGGTTGAAAACCTGAGTGCTTTTTATGTCCTTGAGGAGAGGTGAAAAGGCGTTGTCTTCCGAGGGAAATACCCCGGGTGTTTGGGAATATTTTTTATGGGCAACGTGGCAACTTTTGCATTTCAAAAGTAAACCAGACAAAGCATTATTTCCAGCCTGCATTTGTAAAGTAAGCAGTTGACTGAAATCTCTGAAGATCTCAAACAGTCTTGAGGGAAAGTGACTGTATGAAAAACTGCTCAGAAAGTTTCTTCTGCTTAAATGCAAACTAACATTGTGGAAAAGACAAAACAGTGGCAAGGAACTGCATGGTGTTAATGAATGGAAAGAGGAATATGATACTAGAGTGCCAAAAAAGTGTCTCTATGGACCATTGGTTAAGGTTCCTGTGCAATTTCTTTTCTTTTCTTTTCTTTTCTTTTCTTTTCTTTTCTTTTCTTTTCTTTTCTTTTCCTTTCTTTTCTTTCTTTTTCTTTTTTCTTTTTTTTTAATAAGCTAACAAAGTGCTAAAGAATAATCCCACCTTTCTTCCATGCAGGGCCTGATGTTTGGCTACGCAACTGATGAAACAGAAGAATGCATGCCTCTAACCATTATGCTTGCCCACAAACTGAACGCCAAAATGGCCGAGCTGAGACGCTGTGGGGTCCTTCCTTGGCTCAGACCAGACTCCAAAACCCAGGTAGGTTTGGATCTTGCCCAATGTCTCATTCTCTGAGAGCCAATCTGTGTGGCAAAACTAGAGGCCAAGAACAAACTTGATCATGTGTGACAAGGTTGAGGAAAACAGAAGGGAAGGGAAGACCAAAGATACAGTAGATGGATGGGATCAAAGAGATGTCCTTGGAAGAGCTACAAGTCATTCCTCAAGACAGGTCAGAGGGCCGGGCATTTGTCTGTACTGAGTCAACTTTATGGCACCTATCCAACAAATTGTATGTCCACAGGGTAAAAGTAAGAACTCTGTCCACTAACTGAACAGATTTTGCATGGACATTCATAATGTGAGCATAATTCTGCTCCTACTTCTAGGGCAGGAACAGAAGTTCTTGTTACATTGCAACATAAGATCATCTGGTGACAATAACAACCTCTGTGCCCTCCGTCTGTGTGAGCTGAGGTTGTATGCACCTCTCAGTCACCCACTGACTCCCAGCATTTCTCTCTAGGGGACTTTTGCTACTGTGCCAGGTGAACAATTTCTCCTCCTGATCATGTCTCATAAGCACAGATAGGTGCAGCTGTGCTTTTCTCCCATAGATGTTGGAAATGGCATTGGCATCAATACTTCCAGCCATTTCACTCTCCTTATTTTTTGCTTATTTTTTGGGCAATTTTTAGAGTAGCAGGAGTTCACAATACTATAATTGCAGGTTTGAAACTTGGTTTGCATTTTGCTTCTATTTTTCTGTTCTTTTCCCATTTTTAAGAACATGAAAAAATGTTCAGGACAACAGTCCACCTCTAGGCACACTTTACTCCAGCATGTCCTTTTCCACATAGGCTAAAATTGATCAGAAGAAACTCTTCTGTCTCTATGGCTTTTTTTTTGAGTGGGTCTCACATACTCCATCATTCATACATACAGTGGTACCTTGGGTTACGAACGCCTCTGTTAACGAACTTTTCGGGTTACGACCAACTCCGGCCGCAAAAATTTACCTCAGTTTGTGAACTCCGCCTCGGGGTACGAGCAGGATACGTGGCCATTTTTCCGCCCCTGACACGTCCGCGGCCATTTTTCCGCCCCTGACACGTGGTCCGCGGCCATTTTCCGCCCCTGGCACATGGTCGTAGGGAGGGGGACTCTCCCTCCAAGCAATAGCTGCCTCCCTGTCCTCCACGCCAGAACGGATTAACGGTAATTACATTGAACCTTATGGGGAAATTTCCTTTGGGTTGCGACCAATTCAGGGTGCGACCAGAGTCACGGAACGAATTAAATTCGTAACCCGAGGTTCCACTGTATCTGTTTATAACTTCATACAAGGCTTTGGCAAGATTTTGTAGATTTAAAGTTTTTCTGTGCCTCCAAGCCTTCCATGTGCAGTTTTGCAGTTTTCCAACATCAGAATTTTGCTGGGTCAAGAAGAGACACCGCAGAGCTTCAGAGAGTTGGAAACCTGTGTCTGGTTCCCCCCATTTCAAGTTGGAGCTCTCCAGCTTAAGAGTGGAATCTAGCCAGTCCCGTGGTCCCTGAGATGCTGTTCCAAGAGCCCTAGCATTGTCTTCTCAGTTGCATTGTTTGTTTCCTGACAGCGTACCACTATATTTGTAGAAACCACCAATAATTATGATTTCCTGACACTCCCATAGACATTCTAGTTGAACTTGTATTTTAACTATTGCAAACTACCAGGAGTTGTTGAGATGTGGTGGTATATAAATCTAATAAATGAATAAATAACAGGAATATTATTCAATTATCTTTGATATTAATGAGCAGTCTCTTCTTTATGCAAATTTCCCCAGCCTGGGGTCCTCCAGATGTTGAACCAATATTCATCAAGAAGGATGGGAGTTGACATCTACCACATTTGGTTGGGCAAGTTGCCTGATAACTCTGATTCACACTCATATAGCTTCCATTCTTATCCCAGTGTTTTGTGTAATACAGAAGACCTCATCATTCCCCGTAAGCTCCTGTGATCATGCTATGGTATCACATGGGGGAAAAGGAGTTTCCAAGGAGTTAAGTTTAAAAAACCAACCAAGTTTTGGTTTTCACTGGTAAATGTTCACGTCTAACCAATGTTAACATGAGGGAGAGTGAGTGAGAGAGACCTATACCATATGAGTGTATGACAATACTTTCCACTGGCTATTTGTTAGCCAGTCAACAGTTCCACGCCCCACCCATAAGGCCTGTTTAGCCAGGCAGAAAATAGCAAGGAGAGCCAACACAGTGTATGATTGTAGCAGTGGGACATGGTATTGCCCCAACAAGAATTGGGTTATAATTGGGAACTTTTTATTTGAACTGGGAGAATGGAGGAAACAGCTGATGAGATCAGAGATCCTCCATTATTTTCAAATCTTGCAAGCAGCCAAGGGTGTTTTACTTTCCTTTCTATTTCCAGCCCACTATAAATCACCCTGTCTGCATTTGTTTTCAGATCACAGTTCAATACGTCCAGGAAGATGGCGCTGTTATCCCCATGCGGGTCCATACCATTGTCATCTCGGTGCAGCACGATGAAAGCATCTCCTTGGATGCCATGCGCAAAGCCTTGCAGGAACATGTGATCAAAGCCGTAGTGCCACCCAACTACTTAGATGACAACACTGTTTACCACCTTCAACCCAGTGGCCGTTTTGTCATTGGAGGTCCGCAGGTGTGTCTTTACCCTTACACAGTCCCACACTGTTGAAGTTACATTTTTATATTAGACCCAGTAGAGTCACCTGCTCTAGCAATATTCCTAAATTCTTACCTTTTTAAAAAAGAAAAAACCAGTTTCCCCTCTGAATTAAAGCATGCTTTAGCTTGGAGGCACTCCTTCCCCAAATTCCAGTGAACCACACTATCTAATTTCAAGAAATCCAGGTATAACTGCCTGTGAGTTCTTTTCTGTTCCAGAAAATTATCTCCTGTTCTGTTAAACCTCCTGTTGTTACCCAATTTCTGTCAGCAAATCAATGTATAGTGATAGATAGAGTTATGGGTTAGTATTGTGTCCAGTTCTAGGAACCACATTTTTAATGAGGATTCTGACAAACTAGAACAGGTTCAAAGAAGGGTGACAAGGATGGTGGACAACTAGAAACTGCATCCTAAATAGAGAATTGGGGGAAACTGGGAATGTTTAGCATTGAGAAGATTGAGGAGAATATGGTAGCTCTCTGAAGATACCTGAGAAGATGTCATACAGAAGAAGGCCAGACCATATTCTCCATCACCCTAGTGCTGGATGCAAAATAATGGAGTTAAATTACAGGCAAGTGGATTCCACATGAAAGTCAGGAACCGTTTTCTAACAGTAAGAGTAGTTTGACAGTGGAAACTATTATTCAGGAGCACTCAAGTTAATGGATTAGTACAAAACAGGTCCCTTCCCTGCACTGGTTTCAACAAAAGCATCTATAAGGGATGCTTTGATTTTGATTCCTGCACTAAGATGGGGCTTAGACACAGATATCTAAATGCCCTCAGGTGGATCTAAATACATCCCACTCTGTGACTCTGTCTTTTTTCTAATCCCGTAGCTTAAAAATCAAGGTCCCTGGGATGTAGTTGAATTTGTTTTGAGGTTACCCGTTGTTAACCTTCCTAGAGCAAAATTGGGCAGGATTCCAAATGTACGGGTCTGGAGGCAAGTACCATTGGCTAAACAGAAGACATTTATTCCTCTTCTCAGCCTTTCTTTTGTGTATGTTTGTGGCTATCATGAACCTTTCCCCCAAACACCTGTCTGGTGAAAACAGAGATTGGACATTTGGTCTGGCAATATTGCAGGGTGATGCAGGAGTTACCGGCCGGAAGATCATTGTGGATACGTACGGAGGATGGGGAGCCCACGGTGGCGGGGCCTTCTCAGGCAAAGACTACACAAAAGTTGACCGGTCAGCAGCATACGCAGCCCGGTGGGTTGCCAAGTCTTTGGTGAAGGCAGGGCTGTGTCGTCGGGTTCTGGTCCAAGTAAGTGGTGTTTTGCTAACCTGGCAGCTGTCAAATCAGATCAGTTTATTACAGCCCTAAGGGCAGACACAGTAAAAATCTAATAGTAGAACTGTTACACACACACATACATACATACATCAGAAAAACGAGTAAAACAGGATCTAAATAGGATCTGGCAGGGGAGATACCTTGATCACAGCTGTAAAATAGTACTAATGGGTGTCCAGAGATGGGGCTAATGTCACCCCCATCATGACATCCCATGAAATACATTATTTTGCTATTCAGTGTCATGATGCATGTAACAAGGCAATGTCGTTGTGTCTTCTATCAAACATCTCCAGTCATGGGGGTCCACAGGAGGCACAAGTTACAGCAAGTAATCGTGTGTCATCATGTCATCATGTACGTACATCATGATTTGCGCACTGATGTCATGACACCTGTGATGCCATATTAACTTTGTCGCGGCTTCTAAAACAGACTCAAGTGGTGGTACTTAATGTTACGGCAGCCTAACATTAAAGCTAAAGCCAGCTGCTCCATTCCTGCGCGTTCAACCCTAACCCCTCTCAAAACTCTAGCAATACAAATCACATAGCATCATTCCAGTGTGATTTATCTGCTACCTACACACGGGTTGCCACTTACAGGAAAACTCACACATCCTTAGTACTGGCATATTCATGCAATGGCACATTGCCAGGGAAAGAGTAGAAAGGAGGCATAAGAGGGATTAAATGACTTTCAGTCAATGTCATGTGAGAGAATGACTGTGTGCTGATGTTTTACTAGCTGTGCTGGCATCGTCACATTAGATCCGAAACTGAATTTGGCAGCAGAGGTCAAATCCTTATCTACTGCACATTCAACGAAATGGAATGCCCACAATCAATCATTGATTGCCACGTAGACAACACTTTATAACCTTCATCCTTATTGGGATATTTATGGATTTCTGTTGTCTTTCTAACAAATCCTGGGGAAATACAAATTATGCTAGGATCTGATGTCCTCCAGGTCTGTTATGTGATTAGGCCCTTGTAACTGATGTTAAGCCAAGATTGACTCTCCTCCATTTTTAGTCTAATGTTTCTTGATTCTTATTTTTCCTTTTCATTATATTGTTATAAATCTTGATACATTATGTTGTTTCAGTTCAATGATATCTGTACAGTATTAATTAAAGTTATTAATGTTCTATAGTTTAGATAACTCGCAATATTAGAAATAGAGAAAAAAAGAAAGATATATTCCAGCCATACTAAATACAATTTAGGGTATCGATATTAGAAGCATAAAATTATTTGACTTTTTCATACAAAATTGAGTATAACATTAGAAAGAAGAAATTGTTGCAGATTACCTCAAAATGTTTGTTATACAAGATAGGTTTTGGTCTTGAGTTGATTGCTTAGTATTGAAGTCTATTGTATAATTCTATGTATGTATGAATGGAATGAATGAATGAATGAATGAATAAATAAATATTTTTTCCATTCTTGTAGCACTTTTAGTAGTGTTCAAAGAATCTCTCTCTCTCTCTATCCTTCCAATAATCCAGTAAGAGAATACAGTTTGAAAAATACAGTCCTAATCCCTTATGTATCCCTTAAGTTTTAAAAACTAGATTTGTCCTCCCCTCTTTCTATGCGATTAGTGTCATTCTGTATTTGAATAACTGGGCAATCTTGGATAGTTTGGTCCTTCCCAAAAGCTGGTCCTTCCATATCTTCATTGACAAAGTTGTGGCCACCAAATAAACCTGTTGATGGCATGCATGAAGCCAGCCTAAACCTGTCTCCTTTTTGCTATCTAGGTTGCCTATGCTATTGGAGTGGCTGAACCACTTTCCATCTCGTTGTTCACCTATGGTACCTCTGCATATTCTGAGCAAGAGCTGCTCAACATTGTCCACCAGAATTTTGACCTTCGACCTGGAGCCATTGTCAAGTAAGCATTTCACAAGGGCCTTTTTGGCAGAGTAGCCATAGACGGTAGATACTGTTGATTTTCCAGTCCTGGAAACTGAATGGAGGCAATCTGAAGTTTTCTGAGTTTCCTTTCATTCCATTTTGAGCTTTTCCCAAAAGAATCAGGTCCTGACTGGGAAACAGTTATGGTTGCTCTCCCATCCTTGGGAGTATGACAGTCCAAGAGTGTGTATATGACCAAACCATCTAAAATATGTCACTCTGGGAGAGTTCCAGCTTCATGCTCAAAATGGAATCCTCTTCAGATAGCTCTTGCTGCAATTTGGCCAACTGGGAAAAGAGGCTTGGTTTCAAATGTTAGGCAGTTCCAGGGCTTAAAACCTGACCTCTGACAAGGGGGTAGATTTATAAAGGTGGCAGCAGTTCTGTCAGTAAAGGACTACTTTCCAAACAAGAACCTGGAGCTTTTTGAGCTAGCGGATTGTTCTGCGGGACAAAACGCTCCAGATATCTGCAGGGAGCATCACAAGAAAAGTTTGTCCCTCTTAAAGAAGTTCCTGCTGTCCTGTGTCCCAGAATGATCCAGAAGTGAAATGGATTTATAAATTCCCTTATCCAAATGGTCATAGTAGCTGCTTTCTTGATGTAGCCTTGCAGCTCACTCAACATGCATCTGAAGCTTTCAAAGCAGTTTGTTGTGGCTGCTTGTCATATCTCCCTTCATAAGAAGCGCCTTGCTGGATCAACCAAGAGGCCTAGTGAGGGCAGCATTCTGGTTTTGGAGCAGCCAGCCAGATGCTAATGAGAAGTCTACTGGTTCACACCTTTTCCCTCATAGCTTATCGCATCTAGTATGTGTGCTTATCTGTGTCCAGGGGGTTATAAATTCCTCCCTACAAAAAAAACTTCTCCCAATCTCATTAAAAATGTTGTAGTGAGACCATGCCTTGAAAAAAACCATCACTGGACCCAGAAGATCTGAACAATTATAGGACTGTGGACAACATCCTGGGCTGAATATTTAAGCAAGTGGTGGCTGATCAGATCTAAATGCTGTTAGGTGAAATGGGCTTTCTAGATCCATTTTGTTGGGATCTAGATTTGGCTTTGGCACTGAAACTTCCTTGATTATCCCGTGGGATGATCTTTGCTGGGAGAGAGACAGGCAAAAGCAACCTTCTTGGTTCTCCTGGATCTCTCAGTGGCTTTCAACACCATTGACCATAGTATTCTTCTGAGAGATTGTCCAAGTTTGAAGTGAGTGATGCTGGTTTGCTCATCCCTGGTCATCCCTGGATAGTTGTTTCCAGAAGGGGTTGCTGGGAGATTTCTATATCTATTTCCACTTCTTCCCCTGCTCTTTAACATCAGGGTAAGAGCACTAAGATCATGTGGAGAATTAGAGTTAAGTGTCATCAGGATGATGATGACACATCACTCTATCTCTCTTTTTCATCAGATCCAGATGAGGGAGTTGGAAATCAGTAACTGAAGAAGGGTAAAAAAGACTGAGTTTGAATCCAGAAAAGGCAAAGGTGCTCTCTGTGGATTTTAAAATCTGTCTAGGTGGAGTAGTGTTCAGCTGTTCCAGAAAGAGATGCTCTTGGTAGCGTTCTTCTCCATTAATTTATCTGGTCTCCTTTTAAATCCTGTGGCAAGGAATCCTCTAGGTTAGTTGTACAGCCTGCATTCAAGAAAAAACAACTTCAGTAACTTTATTTTTTATTTTATTTTTTTTACACTTAGGGATTTGGATTTAAAGAAGCCCATTTATCAGAAGACTGCCTGTTACGGTCACTTTGGAAGAAGTGAATTTTCTTGGGAAGTTCCTAAAAAGCTTGCCTTCTAACCATCTTGGGCCAACCTCTCCATTTCAAAGGAACAGGATTTTACTACCACGAGTGCTTCCATTGACCATAGTCAATGCTAAAAAAAAATGGAGAAATGTTCGCTGTTTGCTTTCTCTACATCTCACTACATGCAGACTTATGGAGGATAAAAAGGCAGATGGATACCATTTTAATTTTGTCTAATGCTGCTATTTTGGGGTAGGGGGAGGAAGTTCCATTGGAAAAGACAAGATGGGACTTAAACCTACAATCAGACCATGGATTTTTTTTTTCAACCCAGCAACTGTACATCATTCTAAAACACTAATAGGAAGAAAAGTTTTCTGCAGATTCAGTATGCTTTCTCAACATTTTGCAACAGGACAATTAGAAGTTCTGCCATCCTGCTTCCATAATGGAGTTTGTATTACAAGGGGTAGCTAGACTCTTGGAGTGAAACAGAACTATTTCCCTATATTGGAGTCTCATCTTTTCAAAAGGGGTTTTGTCAGGTTTTACTAATTCTATTCCAGCTGTCTAATTCAATGTTTAATTCTTTCTTGCTTTCTCTCTCTTTCCTTTTTTAACTGCCTTACAACCAAACATTTTAGACGCATGCTTGGTGCCTTTTATCTATATGCATACATGTTGCTAACATTTCTGGAGCCCCTTCTACACAGTTTTAGATACAAAAGGTTTTTTCAGAATCCACGGAATTGTTGTATATAAGCCACACATTTCAGCCACTGGCTGAGCTGCTGGGAATTCCTGGGAGGCTCAGGACATTCATGTGGCTTGGAGAGAAACAGTCCACAGTAGAGTAAATGCAGCGAAATGAGGGGGTAGACCTGTGAAGGAGAGGAGACAGACATAGCATTAGTCTCTAAAGCAAGGAAATGTTCATTGGATGGCTCTTGAGAGCTGATGGTCAAGCAATCAAGCTGACATTAGGATAACACCACGGAGACAGGACATGCAGCGAAATGAGGGGGTAGACCTGTGAAGGAGAGGAGACAGACATAGCATTAGTCTCTAAAGCAAGGAAATGTTCATTGGATGGCTCTTGAGAGCTGATGGTCAAGCAATCAAGCTGACATTAGGATAACACCACGGAGACAGGACTTGGTGGGGGAAGAGAATAAGGATAAGATCCATTTGTTCCAGTATTTTAGAATAGACCCCGCCATGTCCTGACCCAGAAAGCCAGGATAGATATTTGCTTCAATCAGCACGATAACTTGGGCCAGTAGTGAATGCGGAAAGAGGAATATCTCCCATGAGCCAGAGAAGGGAGCAAACTGGTGCCAAGGTACCATTTGACGTTTCATTACAAAGATATACCTCTGCCTTTATGGGTTTCCCTTTCAGCTGTGTTTCTTGAAATGAATGTTGCCCCTAAGAAAAGTTTCCATTGTTGGGATAAAAAGGAAAGGAAGCCCTTTGACAGTTCTGTGCATCATCTCATCAAAACCAGAGCTCAGTATTTTACCTTACTATGTAAAGCATCACATATGCTGAATGGTGCTATATAAATGGCTGTGATTAACAGATGACAGGCAGATGTCGTCATCACAATTCTGTCTCAGGATCAACAGTACAGTTTGCTCCCAGTCCTATTTGCCAGCCCTGGAAAATCCTATCAGTGCCTTGGTAGACGTATGTTTTAAAATTTGGGGTAGGTTTCCTCCCCACCCCCCACCCCTCATGTCTAGCCTTGTTTCTTCTCTCCTGTTTGGCCTGCAAACCTCCCTTGGCATTTTATAGGTCAAAACAGATGGGCTAAAGTCATTTTCCTCTTCTGATGGGTGGAACATCTTTTGCCTGTCAGAACATCACCGCTGTTGGATGCAAAACTGGCAGGAAGAGATAACCCTATCTTTTGAAAAGAGACAAAAGGATGCAAAGTACTTTTAAAATGACATGTAAAGGGATCAGTTAGCCCCTAGATGGCAGCCTTGCAGGAGGACAGCTGTGTTTTCCTAGGGTGGCAAAAAAAATCAGGAACCTGGTAGGACCTTTTCTGCTAACAAACGTTATAAAAGGCATCAGGCATCTCATTTCATCTCTATGCATCTTAAACTGATGCCTTTTAATAAAATTTGTGGAAAAAGCTGCCAGACTCCTTCTGATTGTTGGCCATTAGATGGCACCACAGCCCAGCTTGGATTGTTGTTCATGCCTCTCCTAGTTAAGTTATTGAAATGGATGGATTAGCTCTTCTCTATCTACATCTCAAACGTTTAAAAATAACACGGGCAGCTTGGATTGCAATTTGCAAAACGGCTTTAACCATTCTGGCTGAGCTAGGAAGTACAATGTTGGTTATAAATGGGGATGGATAGAAGTAAATGGAGATTTTATTTTTTTTTAAAAAAATATTTCTCGGTTTGCCAATGAAGATGAATTTGTATTTATTATGCCTCACTGTTTGAGGGGCTTTCCAAGTGCCTCAGCTGACTCAGTTGCCATTCTTTCTTTTAAGAAGGTGATGATGGTGATAATTTTGCTTTGCTGATTTGGCCTCTGTTCCTCAGTTTCAAACCATCCAGGGCAGTGGTTCTCAAACTGTTTGATCCAAGTACCCTTTTCCTCATCTCAAATAATGTCATTACCCCTCACACCCACACACAAACACACACACACAACCCTCTACTGTTTTGCACAAGTGTCTCAGCAGCAGCAATCCCAAACTGGATCCTCAACTCACAAACAAGCAATTACAAATTGCTCTGTAACCTCCAGGATCTGCCCAAATTGCACATTGGGGTAATAACCACCAGTTTAAGAACCACTGACCTAAGGCAACTCTTTTGGGAAGGGGAAAACTCTAAGTCCATATTTAACAATGATTTCTCTCTCTCTCTCTTGAATATCTTTAGCATCTAGCAAGCACTTACAGATATCTAACAGAATTTTGAGTGCACCATAGTAGATTCCAGTTTTCAGGAAAGCCAGTTTAAGTCCAGGGTTCATACTGTGCAGCCCTGGCGATTATAAGCTATTTTTGCTTTCAGATCATTCTCAAATCAGTCCTGGATATTTAGTAAGATGTCAAAAGTTCCCCTTCCTTAGATTTCCCAATCCCTTCTAATCTTCCAGTAAGACAGTTCCTCAGCATCTGGGTTGCAGTGTTAAGGCAATTTAGGTGGGAACAAGGCCCTCCAAAAGCACAGCATAAATATTCGGTTAACATGACCTACTAAGCTTCACTGTGGTCCTTTATACCCTTATCTACAAATCCTCTCGAATTGTGTGCAACTTACTTCTGAGAAAATATGCTAAGGATTGGGTTATGAGCGTCTCTTGGTTGGTGCTTCTCTGAGACATTGTAGAAGACTTCTGGCCAGACCCAACATATTTGATACAGAGTTCCAAAGCTGTAGGCTAGGCTGGGAGTTTGGGGGGGGGGCTCAGAAAAAGGCAAGGGCAAACCATTTTTGCATTGCTGCTAAGAAAGTTATGTGGTTGTGTCCATGAAATCCCCAGGAGTTGAGCTCAATCTGAATTTATTTTTTATTCCTATATGAACATGGAGAACTTGGTTACTTTCCTGATGAAGTGCATATAGTGCTAAGCATCTAGCAGACCTTGGCTGATCTCAGAGAGGATGAGGCATGTTGTGTACTTGAGTGGAAGATGGTCAGGAATTCCCAAAGCTGGACTCAAAGACATCAGCTACTGACTGTGATGATGAAAAGATGATGAAATGGACATTGGGATGTCACAATGCAAACCCTGCCTGTTCGTACTTGTGCTCTGACCTTGGATGCAAATATCTAAGTCACAAGGTTTTCATTGTGATGCATGTTTTGTCCCTTGACCTTCCCCATGGATGCTGATGGCTAGACTGAGAGGTTGAAGAAACATTCTAGAATAAGGGGGTGGTAGACCACTTCAATTCTGTCACCGTGAAAACTATGTGAATATCTCCATGAAGCCACTTGCAGCTAATGTCGAATTGAGGGCACTAAAAATATCTGGGTGGCACAGGGAAGCTGGATAGGTTTGGTTCTGTTCGTAGATGAATAGGAGACCACCAGACAAAAGCAGGACTGCAGGATAGATGGGCAGGGTTAGAAGAGAATCTCAGAAATCAGCAATGGCAATCCACTTCAGTATTGTCAAGAAAAGGACACAGATATGTCCATGTAGACAAGCTGTGTCAAGCTCAACTTGAGAATACCTTCACCTTTATTTATCTTTTTGTTTTTAGTCATCTGCCAGTCTGAATATTTCCTGTAATCCTAAGGATCTGTAATCCTAAAGCCAAAGACAACAATGTTGAAATGATAAAACTGGTGTGCGTTGAGTGGAAATTTTAGTTGCTGCAGCCTTTCTCTCTGCATGATTAAGTACATCTAGTTAAATTCTCTTTTTTTAATCTTCTTTAGTATGTGGTTTGTATACAGTCTATCCCCAGGAATCAAGCATCGCTTCTATGAGTAAATACTGAATTTGTACAGCTATATGTGCTTTTGCCAGTAAATGTATTATGCCAAATAATATGTTGGTGAGGTGGGGAAAGAGACCTGATTGCGCATTTTGCCAAATATTTGATTGTTCACTAAAAAGAATTTTTGAAGAACAGTGGGGAAAGATTACTCGGAACTAAAGAATCTTGACGTGGTCATGACAAAAACTGGTGTTTTAGGGAAAAAATGAACTACATGAAATTTTTACTATTAATGAAACGTGATTTAAAAGTCAACATTCTGGTCCCTTTCCAATCTGTTGTATCGAAACTGAATTGTCACAAAAGCATCTGGAGGGAAGGAAGTTGGGAAGGACATTGTCATTATGACACCCCCCCCCCTTTTTTTTGGACAAACTTCATAAGTGGCTGGTGCTTTCCAATGGAAAGCTCCTCCTGGTGTTGAATCATTGGGGCCACATCTTCCCTTTGTCCCACTCCTGCGCAAATGCCCAGGCCTGGTGCAGTTTCTTATGGAAGTCTTGGCTGTAGGACATGCTAGTAAAAAAGGGCAGTAGATCTTTGAAGACTGGGTATGAGGGACAAACACAGGGGGAGAGCCATAGTTTCATGTTCCCATTGGTCAGAATGGGAGACAATAAGCGTGCCTGGGGAGAGAAGAAACTTACTACATCCCACAAATTAATTATTTACCAGGAATCTCAATCACAAGGCAGGTGGATTCTGAGTCTCAGTTTCTTTTTAATACATCTCCCGCAAAGAGTTCAAGATCCACCCAGTTCTTTGGTGTTAATTTTCCAATGAGATCTCACAAACCTGTTCTCTTTCAGTTCCTTTACTTTCCAATAATTTTCACATCAGGACCTTCCTGAATAATTCTACTTCCCAAAACGCCATCCCCTCCCTCCCAACTTCCCCAATCCATTGTCTACTTTTTCCCACCAAAGATGAGGTCAAAAACCCCAAGTTTTCCTGTTTCCAATTGTATCCATTTTCATGGCAGCCTTTCTTCTCCTCCACAGCCAGGGGTGTCTATAGGGGGACAAAAATACCAAGATGCCACCACCGTGGAATCAAAACCCTGGTCCTTTTTTATGTGTGGGGCTTTTTTGGGGGGTGGGGGTTAAGGCTCATTTAAATCTGTAAACAATTGTCCATAAATTGTAAGTATGCATTCACATTTGCAGAAAGATGTTTTGTTTAACTTTGTACCATATCACGGGTGTCTGTAAGAAGTCACAATGATGTCTGCAATGATATGATTGATGCTCCACCTGTTATTTATGTGCATCACATACCCTGTGGAGACTCCCATGTCACACAGAGGTTGTGTCAGCTCCTGTTCATTTAGTCATTGATTGAAATGCATATTTGACCAGGGGTGCCTAAAGGTTTCTGTGGAACCGCACGCTCACTAAATAAGGTTGTGCAAGTGGCAGACACTTCAAACTGGGTACCACAATACAACTTTGTCTGGGAGCCAACTGTGCAGAGAACACCTTCAAAGATCCCAAAATGGGAGGTGGCTTTCTGTTCTCCAAAAAGGAAAGTCTTCTCTGAAGGACTTTTAGACATCTTGATAGTTGAAGGTCCTTGCTTATTGTTAGCTAATAGGCAGTTAATGTGAGTTGTTTCACTGGAAGCAATTATGCAGAAGCTCTGGCTGTAGACTTCTGTTCTTGGGTTTGTGGTTTTAATTGTGAGGTGCCCAAAGTCACCCATTGGGGGAGATGGGCAGCATGCCAATTAAATAAACAAACAAACAAACAAATAAATAAATAAAATGTACTACAAGATATGACAGCCCTTATACATGCACTCACAATCTAAATGTGTAGTACCACAGAAGGCAAAAGGAAGTGGAAAGTCCAAGGAGCAAAGTGTCTTCTCTGGCAATGGTTGGGTCAAGCTGGTTTGCATTTTTGCTGTGCTGTTTTACCAGGAGACAGAGGTAAGATTCCAAGGTGGAAGGAAGCAATTTCCCTGAAGCTGCTTCAGATTTCTCCATAGGTATGGAGTTAGTTAACAACTGAGATAGTTCTTATTTTTCAAGGATGGAAGTTTCCCTGCTTTTTGTTGAGTTTATCTTCCTGTCTAGAGCTGGGTTTGTTTCTGGTGCACCACAGAATCTCGGTGCCAAATCTTCCCTCTCCAATACCCATCCCTGTTGAGTAAGGACCACTGGATTGGTATCAAACTTGCATGTTGAGTTTTACATTTTCTAGTGCTTTTGAGAGAGCTGCATAGCATTTAAAAAGAAAACATGCATTTATAGACACACATTCTCTCTATTCAAAAAGCTTCTGTTTCTATCCTTTTTACCTTCTTTACACCCACAGCAAGAGGAAGCGTTTGGCTGATCTCGAAAAAGCTAAGCAGAGTTGATGCTGGTTACTGATTTGTTGGACTATCAGGGAATCCTAAGTCTGTAACTAATTGGAAAGTCAAAAAGCATCTAGAAAGAAGGCAATGACTGAGCACTTCCCTACTGTTGTCAAGTTAAAAAAAACAAACATATCCATGCAGTTATCAGGAGTCAAGCTCAACTAGAGTGAGACATTGATGTACAGTAGCTAGGTGGAAGCATGGAGCTGATTTTAGCTGCTCTCAAAAAGCTAAGTATGGTTGAATCTGGTTAGTACTTAGATGGCAGAAAATCTCAGGATAGAATGGGAAGGGTGGGGGGCGGAATCCAGAAGGCAATGGGAAACCACTTCTGCTGTTGCCACGAAGACTACATGGACATGCCCATCATCAAACCGCTGTTGGATGCCTGGACAGTGGAAACTTACTGGGGCAGTGGTCCACCCCTAATTGATCAGAAAATTTTCAACTTTTCTTTTTTCTTGTAATTTCTTCCAACCACAATCTAATCATGCATTATGTGATGGGAATAGAGCACTGGAGATCCTGGGACCAAGAAAGTTCATTTCAACCTGTTCTCTTTTCCCTGATTTTTTTTTCCCCAGTCCCCAAAGCTTCATATTTATGTTGATGATTTTCTTGCAAGAAATGCAACTCTTTCTCCTGCACCATGTATGTATGTATGTATGATGTATGTTTATGTCAGGAATTATTTTATTCCCCTCAGCCATTCCCTGCCAAGGTAGCACATGAAAACAGACACAGACAGAAAAAAAGAGTGCCAAAAAGGGTGTTTCTGGAGTGGGTGAACATCTCCAATGCAGCTGGCAGAAGACCTTTTGCTAAAAATCATCTTGTGTGGGAGAGGTTTGGTGGGTAGAACCAGTGTTACTGCCTCACTAGGTGGGGCAACCAGCTTGAACTGCTTAGAAAAGGTGGGATATAAATCTAACAAATAAATCATTATGTCCCCTTTTCTAAAAAAAAAAAAAAAAAGAGGAAGTATTAACAAATCCTGAAAAAAATCAAAAAGTAGGTTCAGCTTTATTTTCAGCTACAAACTGAAGTCACGTCATCTGACCCGCAGGCCGTTCACTTTCATCTAACCCATTTTTCAAATTCAGTTTAACAGGCTCAGAACATATGATTTTATTTTTAATGAAACAGAACTTCACCACCTGTTTTACATCTGATGGGATAAGAACAGAAGTTCAAGGTTATAAAAATAACAAGAGTAAGTTGACAGACGTTGAGTAAATAGTCGATAAAATACAATTACCTAGTCAAGGAATCTCAAATTGCAGATGCTGAGTTGCATCACAAATGGATCTGACCTACCTTTAAAGAACCATATTTAACTAACAGGACCCCTTGCATCTCTTTGATAGCTTCTCATTAAATAATCTCAGGAATCTAATTCAAACAAAGAGTAAGTCAGTCCAGGGTATCAAGTTCTGTTTTTTTAATGGCAGGTTTGGATATGACTTCCTTTTCCTGGTCTTAATTCCTTAATTTTAATTGTCATTAATTTTAATGTCCAGGGCATCTAAAATCACCCAACACTTTGTAAAGAGGCAGGCTAGACAGTTCCATCCAAAGAGATCTGTGACAAAGACCTCATCCTCAAGAGCAGTACAACAGCAGGAAGGAAAAACATGAGGATGGTCATGATTAGCACTGCAGCAAGGATCACCAAGAGAATTGTCCAAGTTGCTAGGATGGTTTCCACCATGGCTTCCTTTCTCTTTGGGTTCTAGAATCTGTAAGAGGGAAAAAGCTTCACGTGAAGTCCATGGCATCACCATTGATATCTGGAGCTACTTGCAGAGACCAAGGCATGGAGAGGGGGAAGTTCTTCTGCCTGGACATTGCTTTTTTGGCTAGGTAAAGGTTCCCCATTCAGAAAGTTTGCTGTTGGTACACAGTGTTGCCTTCAAGGTCAAACACAGAACATGTACCCTCTCTTCTTCTAAAATACTGGTTTAAAGGAACATACAGAGATTTTATGCTGCTCAAAATTTGTGGGAATAAAATGTCCCTCATTTCCCATAAACAGAAATGTAGGACAGGCAACTATGCCACCCACCAACCTCCATCCTTCATTGTTTCAATATTTCAGCAGAACTGACCTCAGGAAGACAAAGAGTGTAGGGAGACATTTGGAAACTGTCCTCGGCATTATGCAAAAAGGGCAGAGTCTATGTAACTTCCTTTGGTTTAGGTGCTATGAGGAAAGAGAGGTTTCTCCTCATTTCAAGTGACGAAAACAACTCCCACGCCCCTTGATAAACTGGTTCTGTAAAAAAAGTCAAGAATGCCCAATCAACCTGTAATTTCAACCATTTTTTAAACTTTAAAGAACTTGAACTATTTTTGGAATCCCTGTCACAGCCATGTGGCTCATTTTCCTCCTGACTAATAGCCTTTGGGTGGGAAAGAAAAGAAAAAGAAAAAAGAACGATTTTGATGAATAGATGTTTTGGGGTGTGTACCTGTTTATCCATTAAGGATGAAAATATGGCATTCCAGATGTTATTTTTAAACTTGCCAAGGGAATGGCCTGCCTATAGGCGGTTTCATGAAGCAGGTGCTTTCCAAAATGTACCATAATTTATCTTCTTCCTCCTTTGGGTTTTCCCAAATTACAAAAACCCAGATTTTCTTTTGAAATTCCTATTGGTGCTGGCATAGTGATCAAATTGAGAAGCTTTCCCATGCAGTCAATGAGTTGTGTGTTTTCCACAGCCCTGTTTTTTTACCCTTGACTGTTTCCTAGCTCCTGTGCTTAGCTACAACATTTTAGGTCCATGTGAAATTGGGTGAAATTCAGCATCTCTCTCTCTCCCCCAGCCCACATCCTTCCTTGCCCCCTTCACGGAGATTAATCTTCTGAGGTAGGGAGCTTTGAAAGTCCAGGTGTTTCTGTATTTATTTAGAATCAATTGCCTTTCACTCTCATCTCTTTCCCCAAAGGGTTGAGAAGGGCCTTTGTTATACAACCTTAGCATAACATCCCCAAGTCTGTAGCCACTCAGAAAGTTTTCTGAATATATTTGTTGCCATGTCATCATGCCACCATAATTGCAGCCACTCAGAAGGGCTTGCTCTGGCTTGCAGGTTTACTGTAATACCGCCATATCCATGGCGCCACAGCATCTGGGGGCATTTGTCTACCTTTGCAATTGATCTTTCTTTCCATGTCCCCTTGCTAAGAAAGGATATTTTTTTTTTATTTGCAAACTATCAGCCAAAGGGTGACAAATACATAGATCATAAGGAGGAGCAGTTTCAAGTTATTTTCTTTCATTTTTGAGGAACGGATTTTTGTTAATTGATGGCCCAGTGCATTCAGGGGAGATCTTGGCCAGCCTGGAATTGTCAATGTTGCTGACATTCTTCAGAAGCTTGAAATTTGCAAACATGTCCAAGACTGTAGCTATGGGAATATCAGCCTATATTTTAAAAGGTAAATACAATTTAGAAGTATTCCAAGTTCATGTAAATATGCATTACAAAAGCTTGTGAAAAGAACAGGTTAGTTCCTTGGGGAGTCTCTTTGCCTTTTGAGAACAGGTTTGTTTCAGGACCTCTCCTTCCCTTATAAGAACCCAGTTTAGCCTCTGAGTTTTGTAGAATTATAAAGGACCCCCTCTTTGGGGGGTGAGAGAAGAAATGTGTATTATTAATCAAGCCCCACAAAGCTGAGTTTAGAAGTTAATCATCTGGAGAAGAGAAGTGAGTGTGTGTGTACACACATATATATCTAATAGAAGAGAATATATGCAGCTCAGGGTTGAACTGTGGAGTCCTTGGGGTGAGTGGGGGTTCAGGCAGTGTCCATGAGCAAACCCCACACTCACTAGCACTGATGATGTTGCCTAGTTGGGTAACAAAATGTCTGCAAGCAAACAACCAAACTCAGAGAACACCAAGGACTGTCTCTCTCTTTCTCTCTGTCTCTCTCTGTATGTGTGTATATATATACACGCACATATATTCCAGATGATTGATTGAAGGAGATAGATGATAGATAGACAGACAGATATAGATAGAGCTTTTCTTCTCCAGAACGAACAAGTACCTTGTTAACTTTCTTATTTAAATTTATAAAATACTTACTTGATTATGAAAGCTGGAGCATAATTAGTTTACCCTTGAATAATTCCAGGAAGTATAATATTTAACAAACGAGAGGTGAAAAGAGGTTGAAGACCCTGCTGAATAGTATCCTTTCCCAAATGGCTTTTCAGTTTTGAGCCAAAAACATGACATAAAAGATCTGTATGTGGAACTTCCAAATATATTTCCTTTGGTTCTAAATTGTCACCAGGGATAGAGACTGGTCTGGATTACGAACATGTTGTTAGGAAGGATCAGGTTAAGTCCATTGTTTTGATGGTTTTCAGCTGCAGAGAGAGAGAGAGAGAGAGAGAAGGAGAGAAGGAATCAATAGGTGCCATAAAGAGATCATTTGTCACATGTAGGTTGACTCCCAGAAATAAGGCTGTTTGGAGTTTCGTTACACATGTTTGCATGTAGCATTTGGTTAGCCTTAAAAGTTAGGGAAATTTCCATCTGAGCCAGTTCTAAAGAAGAGTAATCTATTGCAAATGCTGACTTTTGGAATAAATAATATTACTGATGATCTTTGAAGTACAGCAGATTCATATTCAAACACATATTTAGGCATTTGAAACCAAAGAAAGTATGTTAGCAAATGTGGTTCCAGGCAAATCTTATTCAAGATAATGGATATTTATTTGCCTTGCAAAGTGCTTAGCAGAACATGGTTTATTGTCTATTATTTTAGTTATAAGGCATTTTGTTTGAACGCCCATTCCCCACAGTAAACAAAAAGAAGAAAAACAATGCACAGCCTCTTCTAGATTTTCCCTGTAAACTGAATAATATGAAATGACACAAAGTAGTTGACCAGGCTTTGCATAAAAATCCAAAGAGACCTATAGAGAAAGATTTGGGAAAATAATACTATTTTCTCTGCTCATGACCTCACTTGAATGACACTTCAGCAGAACTGCTGTGGAGTACCAGTCCTATCTTTGCTGTAAAGAATAGTTTGTTAAAACATAAAAAAGAAAAAGAGGGTACTATGTACCAACTTAATGTTCTAGAGGAAGAGCAAAATAAAAACAAACCAATATACTGAAGATACTCATAAAAATAATGACAAAAGAGGGGGATAGGGATCTGCCTGTAACAGCAGCTGGATTTGTGCAAATCGGGGAAGGAAGTTTTTGTGCCACAGAAATAAAATATGATCAGGTACTAACAGATGCCCAAAGGCATCCCTAATTGAAAAGTTGGAAGTTATATCTGTCCTAAATCTCATGGTGCATTGTTTTACATCTGTTTGTTTAATATTTATATTTCTTTCCTTAATTATCATCTTTAAGAAAATGCATAGAGTACATAGATACATACATCAGGATCCAATGTGTTATCTTGGTAAAGATGTTGGTCTAGGATTGGGGAGACCCCAGATCAAGTCCTCTTTTATCCTTGAAGTTCTCTGATTACTTTGGGCAAGCCAGTCTCACCTACTGTATACACTGCATATCACATTTGTTGTGGGGACAAAATGGAGATTCTCAGATGAGCTAAGATCCTGGAGAAAAAGCAAGATATAGCTCTAGCCCCATAGATACATCAAGAAATAAGTCATGGTTTGTCTTGCAGTGGTCACCTACTGTAACAGGAAGAGGGATCCTCCAGATTGTGTGAAACTATCGTTCTCAGCCACCTGAAAGGTTAAGGCCTGTGCTGATAGAACCTGGAAGTTCCACAACTTTTGGAGGTCTCACCCTGCGCTTGAAATATATAAAGCATTGTTCACCCTCCATTTCCTCCTCTGGATGATGAATTTGCAATCCCAATAAAAAGAAAAAGAGCAAGAGAGATACAAACACAAAGAGTGACAGAAAGAACTATATCCTACCAAGCAAAACAAACAGGTGAGAAATGGGTTTGTGTAATCAGCTGTGCTTACAATAAAACTACTTTTGTGTGCAAGTTTATGCTTCATTTTTGTGTTTTTCATCACCTGCGTTCCCTTTTCCCTCTTGATTTCTTTGCAGATGGTTGTAGAAGAAAAAGAAAAATCCAAATCATGTATTCAGACAATACGGAAGGTTGACAG